AGCCCAGCGACTGGGACCCTTGAGTCAAGGTGGGGTGTCTGTGCTGGAGACCCCTCGGACTTCTACCAGGGGTAGCGGTGCTCCAGGAGCAGAGCAGGACCCTCCAAACACCTAACACTTCCCAGGACACAAACCCAGCGATGGGGACCAACGAGCAGCTCGGCGCGTCCAGTAACATTTCCAACGCTTTGGGGAGAGATCACCAAACAGTTTCCATCAGCGGAATTTTCCTAAGGTATTGCGGCGGGTTTGAAACGCTATCGATGGATTTTACTTAATAAGAGTACGTAAAAATTACCACGTGAAGAGCCAAAAGTTAACCCCAGCTAACGAGAAGGTCTGTTCCACGTCCAGTCCCCCACTCATAGAATCATAGAATCATAAAATGGTTAGGGCTGGAAGGGACCTCCAAAGGTCATCTAGTCCAACCCCCCTGCAAGGAACAGGGATATCTCCAACTAGATCAGGTTGCTCAGGGCCTCATCCAACCTGGCCTTGAACGTCTCCAGGGATGGAGCATCCACCACCTCTCTGGGCAACCTGTTCCAGTGTTCTACAACTCTCATGGTAAAAAATTTTTTCCTAATATCCAACCTGAATCTACCTCCCTCTATTTTAAAACCATTACCCTTCGTCCTATCACAACTGGCCCTCCTGAATAGCCTCTCCCCATCTTTCCTGTAGGCCCCCTTGAGGTACTGGAAGACCGCTATAAGGTCACCCCGGAGCCTCCTCATGGTCAGCAGTTTTGCAGTCGACGTTTCAGCGACAACAGACGGCACGTAACACCACTTGCCAAGCTCTGAAATTAAATCAGCTTTTTGTACCATGATATTTTTCCACCTGCCCACAGATGCTGTCTCAGCACCCTGTTGGGCAACCGAGTTTTCCTGGTTTAGAACATCACCCGTAGCCCAACCTCTCGATCCGTGTAAATCGGCTTAATTCCACTGGACGCCGCCAAATTACACACATGTCCAGCACTGGGGTTGTGGGATGTTGTTTATAAATAGCAAATTATAGGACTGTGGCATGTAACATAAGAATTTCCCTCGCTCCTCATCCTGATGGGCTTCCTTGGAGAGATGTTTGTTGGTTCCTGACAAACCCAGCGTTCAATCCGCAGCTTTGCCTGGGAATACACGTACTCCGTGAAGGCACC